GCTTTGGCCTCTCTTGCAGACCTCCAGTCCAGTGCACAGGCTCCTACATAGGTGTTTACAAAGCTCTTGCTACATGCATTTCTAGTTTTCTAGTTTATAGTTTTCACTGCTGTTGTAAATGACATTTTTTATTAATTATGAAAGTGGTTGTCACTACTTAAAGGGAAGCTGTTGGGTTTGTGATTGGCCTCATATCTGGCAGTGCCTTGAAGTCTTTCATTACAACCCCGTGTTTTGTTGGGCCTACAAAGATGAAGATTTCTGAAACTGGAGAGCTTGTCTTTTTGTAGTGCTAGAGATCCAGCCTTTACACAGCCAGACAGACAACACCACTGAGCTACACAGCCAGCAGAAGGGCATCCCCCAGGCCCTGAGGTAGAGCCATCCTGCCCATCTTGCTTGGCAGCCCAGCAAGCCTTATAACTGAGGCTGACCTGTAACTTTGAAAACCTTGTGTCTTAGGCCTCTTGGTGCTAGGATTACAGATATGAACCACAATATCCTGCTAAGGGATGTGTCTGGTAATTAATTGTAACACTTAAAATTTTCAGTATGTAAAATTCCTAATGACTCAGAGTAGTGATGTGTGTTATAAAATGATGCTTTAGATTTGATGAAATAAGGGTTTTATTGCTTTTTTTATTTTCCAGATAGATGAGGTAATCTATAAACATTTATGGGTAAAGCTGATAAACTAATTTTCCTTTCTAAAAAATGTTCTATTTATAATTAGGAGGGAGGGGTGATAGGTGTATGTGTGGAAGTCAGAGGACACTTTGAGAGATCTATTCTCTCCATCTACCGTGGGTTCCAGGGATTGAATTCAGGTTGTCAGTGCACAGCAATCCCTTTTTATCCTCTGAGCCGTCTTACTGGCTCTGGTCTTCATTGTTTAAATTGAAGCAGAAAAACAGATAGAGAAGTGTACAAAGTGTTAACTTACTGCTGACCTCATGCCGGGAAAGAGACCTCATGCACTTTATGAACTATCTGCACTGAGAACAGAGTGACTGCTCCTTAGAAATGCCCTTTGCCCTCTTCCCTCTCACCCTGACTCCTGTATGTTTCTACTTCTTTAAAAGATTTTATTTTTGTTTTTAATTGTGTATTGCAGTACCCATAGAGGGTAGAAGTGAGCAGTGGATCCCCCAAGACAGAGTCTCACTGAATAGACCAGGCTGGTCTCGAACTCACAGAGATCAGTCTGCCTCTGTATCCTGAGTGTTGGGATTAAAGGCAAAGGTCACCACTCCAGGCTATTGTTGGCTTTTTTTTTTTTTTTAAGATTTATTTATTTATTATGTATACAGTGTTCAGTCTGCATGTACCCAGGCCAGAAGAGGGCACCAGATCTCATTACAGATGGTTGTGAGCCACCATATGGTTGCTGGGAATCGAACTCAGGACCTCTGAAAGAACAACCAGTGCCCTTAACCACTGAGCCATCTCTCCAGCCCCTATTGTTGGTTTTTTGAACATTGTTATAGATCTCTATATTTAACCTTAGATTTACTGAGAGTAATGACATGTTGAATTTCCTTTGACCTTATTTTGTATTTTTCATTTGCCAAAGTTTGGTTGTTTTTTTCCTCCTAGTTGTAATTTACTCTGTCAACATTTTTCTTTTCTTGAGATCAGAAACTTGTATGAGTGTCTCATCTCTGTTGGTATGTTCATTGATCTGCTGCTCTTCTGTGGACCCTGAGCAGCTTAGTGTTTCTCCTGTATCCTCAGTGGAGTGCTAAGTGATGACAGGAGGAGCAGTTCATAGAGTGTGTGTGGAGGGGGTTGTGTAGATCAGCTCAGTTCTGGCAGGTCCGGTCCTATAGAGGCAAGGCTCAGCTCCAGAAGACTGCCCCACTTGAGATACCAGTTGTAGGTCTTGGGTTGTAACCTGCAGCTCTAAACCTAGGCTTGCTGGGATTGCTCACCAAACTCACATTTTACACCAGGTACAGGTGAATAGCCAGATGGGAGATACCTAAGACCAGGATTGTGGGAAGAGGAACACCACCTCCAGGAAACCATATGTGAATAGCAACCCAAAAGCTCTCTGAAGCCCATAGTGTAAGAAATTCATCACATAGGCATGCTTGATTGTAACTGAAGCCCGACTTCCCTATCTAGAGGTGGGGGTGGGGGAGGATGGAATAAATAAAATTGCCATGGAGGCAAAGTAGGAGCCTTGGCTCCGCATTCACTCTCTTTGTGACCTTGAGCAAATGCTTCATTTATTTCCTCACCTGAAGAATCTTAGGAAACCTGTTCTGCCTGCTCTGGGAGGTAGCATGGTGGAACTCAGATGGATGTGAATTCTGTTAAAAAAAAAAAAAAAAGTTCTGTACCAAACATGAGGCACACAACACTATCACCTTTACTGTGCAATGAAGCTTGGCTATAGGTAGCTCATGGAGAGCAATGTGGTAATCGTCAGTGTTATTTTTCTTGTTCTTATGATATGTCAGAAGGTCATGCTTCTGTTTCTGTTTTAGATATGATTCTTCTTCCTGATTCTTCATTCTAATTTTCTGGAGTTCCTCGTCCCTACCCAATACTTCCCAAATGTCACAGGGAGCCCCAAGGGAGGGAAACTGTCTCTGTGTCATTTGAGATTTATGATTGAGCATGATTGGATCAACTGCCTCGTGATTTTAAGTAATTGTTGGCTAGCGCTGTTGATTCTTAGTGGCTACTGACTACTGATTGCATTAGTGTACTGTGCGAGGCTGTAAGGAGCTGGAAGGCTGGTGGCTGCCATTCTGCTGGCAGCAGTGTCTTCAGACTCGGCTCCCTGTGAATTTGTACTGCATTTGCAGTCTGATTGATGCCATTCATAACTGAAAAGGTGTCAGGACCTAGCAGCCAGCATTGCTTCAATAGATGTAATCTTGGGAGTTACTACACTGCAGACTGAGGAGTCAGTCCTGGCATTCCTCTGTTCTGGTTTGTATTCCTTGCTGTGTAACTTACAGAGCTTTGTGAACATCCGAGGAAAGCAGTGGTTGGGGGAATCCAGTTCCTGACTGATTGCTGCTAAGGAAGAATCTGAATAAAGCTTTCATTTTGCTCTTAAATATTCTAAACAGAAAGAAATGAAAATAATAAATACCATGTATCTTTTTAAAACATGCAGTTTTAAACATTTTAGTCTGGAATTTTTTTCAAAAATTGTAACAAGTATTGTTAAAGTCCCTTGAATATTTACCCCCATTCCATTTTCTACCTTCCCTTTCTAGAGGTTACCATTATGAGCCTGTTCTGTTTTTATGTCTGACCTTCTCATTATTATGACCATAATATATTGCTTCATACATGTGATCACATACAAGTATATACCAGCCTGTAGTGTGCTTCCCTATTATTTAAATTAGTAGACTTGTTCATATGAATAGGTGAAATCTATTTTTTCTGAGTGAGGAGTCTAAACCCAGGGCCTAACACGTTAGGAAAAGCTGCATCCCCAGCTCAGAGGACTCAAACTTTCTTAACTTTTGTGTATGGCTCCCTTATGAATAAACCACAGTAAATTTTCATCTCTTCATCCTTATTAATGAGCACTCGGGTTGTTCCCAGTTTCTCTCTTCCACTTCCTGAGTAGCTGCAAGTATACACAGATGTCACCACTCCACGCTGCTGGCTGTTTCTGCTTTTATAAACAGTGACAGGGTGAAGTAGAAGCCTGTGCCTCTTCTCTTTGGGTTTACATATGTCAGTTCCCTGGGCTGAGTGTTCCTGTCATGCAGCTGCTGCACTGCACATCTTCAGCCTTACTGAAGGGCATTGATCCATCCATCCATCGATGGAGCCACTCTTCAGAGGAGTTCACCAGTTTATTCCTGTGCTCGTGGTTTCTGGCTTTCCTCACTCCTCATTTGTGTCTGTTATGGTACTTCTCACTTTCCCATTCTAATGGCTGTGAATGCTCGCTTATCGCTTGATTTTCCTGATTACTGAATGAAGTTTGTCATCTTGTCATGCTTTTATTGGCCTTTTGTTTTTCTGCATAAATTGTAGTTTCTTATACTTTTCAACATTTCTCTGTTGAGCTGTTTATTTCCTTTATATATTTGTAGAAGTTCTTTATACCATTTGAGTATTGATCCCATGTTAATTACGTGTATTTCAGGGATCTCCTCCCAGATTTGACTGATTTGTTATGGTGACTTTTGATCAAAAGCCGTAGTTCAGTGTAAATAAACCCTAATAAGTTGATATCATATTTGAGTTTAAGAAAGTCTTTTCTGTCCTGATGATATGATGATAGTCTTCTATTTTTTTTTCTGCTTAAAGCTCTGAAATTTTCTTCCTTTAGGACAGTGGTTCTCAACCTTCCTAATGCTGCAACCCATTAACACAGTTCCTCGTGTTGTGGTGACCCTCACCCATAAAATTATTTTGTTGCTACTTCATAATTGTAATTTTTCTACTGTTATGAATTGTAATGTAAGTATCTGATGTGGAACCCCCAAAGGGGTCACGACCCACAGGTTGAGAAGCATTGTTTTAGGACTTCAGGCTTTTGTGAGCTAAGTGCTTTTCATTGTGGGGCATGGATTCCACTCTGATATTTGGTCTGTGGTCAGTAACAACCATCCTGTGACTCCCATCCTGTACCGTCGCCTGTGTCCTCTCCACATAGCCTTGACCACTGCAGCTCTTGCTCAGATTCCCATCTCAGGTCAAAAAAGATTCCTGCCTCCACGTCACTCCCCATTTAGTTGTTGTTATTCAAATTTGTTGGGCTAATTCTTAGACTTTTATTTTTAAAATTAGATGTATTATTTTATGTGTGAGTGTTTTGCCTGCAAGTATGTATATGTAGCATGTGCATGCCTGGTGCCCTCAGAGGTCAGAAGAGGGCACCTGAAACTGGAGTTACACATTGTTATGAATCATTTTGTGGGTCCTGGGGACCTAACCTAGGTCTTCTAAGATGCTAAGCTAACCCTCCAGCCCCTTCATATGAATTTTAGGATCAATATGTTTAGGCTTTGTCTGTATGTTTGTTTTGTTTTTTGGTAGTCTTACTATTGTAGCCCTGGCTGACCAGGGACTTTCTATGTTGTCCAGACTCGCCTTAAACTCCTCCTGAATGCTGAGAATAAAGGCATGTGCCACCACACCCAGCTGGGTCAATCTGTTTAGCTACACATACACGCACGCATGCACAAACAAACAAACAAACACTAATTTTAATTTAATATAGATTTGAAATTATAGATCACTTGATGGAGAGTTGACATCTTTAAAATGTTGAGTTTTTTTGTAAATTAAAACTTGATGCAGATTTTCATTCGTGCCTTTTCAATGGCCAAGTACATAGTCCCAGCACTGCAAAAATAAAATTAAAGCTTTGAAATGTTTTCTGTGAAACTCCTATGAGTTTTTCATTAGATTTCCTCTTCATATTCTTGGAGTTTTTGTGTTTGTGTATTTGTGTTTGTTGTTTGTGGTTCCAGGACTGGAACCCAGGGCCTCACTCATGCTGACACTCTACCACTGAACATCACCCAGCCCTACTACAGTTTCTGTTACCCATGGTAATGGGACATTTTTCCTATTACATTTCCTAAGTAGTTATTTTGTGACTTTTGTATGTTGCTTTTACGTGTAGAAACCTGACTGAACAGTCTTATTAGAGTTCGTCTGTATTCCGATTGTCTTGAATTGTCTTTATAGGCCTTTATCAAGGGTTTATTTCCTTTTTAATTGCCAATTGGATGCCAGGTGTACAGAATACAGTTCATACTATATTCTGTATAAATAGGGATTCTAAGATGTTGAGAGAAAAAAATCTTAACTGTTTTCATTTTAAAAAGTTTTTAATCTGAGGCTGGAGAGATGGCTTAGTGGTTAAGAGCACTAGCCGCTCTTCCAGAGGATATGGGTTTGGTTCCCTGGACCCACACGGTAGCTCACAGCTATATTGTAACTCCAGTTCCAGGAGATCTGAGGGCACCTGGCAGACATATGGTGCACAGACATATATGCAAGCAATGCACTCATCCACATGAAAGAAATAAACCCACAAAAGTAAAATAAATTTTGTTTTGTTTTTGAGACAGGGTTTCTCTGTATTGCTTTAGAGCCTATCCTGGAACTTGCTCTGTAGACCAGGCTGGCCTGGAACTCACAGAGATCCACCTGCCTCTGCCTCCCGAGTGCTGGGATTAAAGGCGTGCGCCACCAACGCCCCTCAAAATAAAATATTTTATCATTTATTTTTATGTGGATAAGTCTTTTGACTCCATGTACATTTGCACACCCTTGCATGCAGTGCTCTTGAAGTTTAGAAGGTGGAGGATTGTAAGTCACTGTGTGGGTGCTAGAGACTGGACCCAAGTTCTGTACAAGAACACTAAGTGCTTTTAGACACTGAACTATCTCTGGCTCCAGTATTTGCATTTTAGAAATACAATGTCTTAGTTAAGGTTACTATTGCTATGATGAAACACCAAGACCATAAGCAAATTGGGGAGGAAAGGGTTTATTTTGCTCACAGTTTCATATAGCAGTTCATTATCAAAATCAGTGAGGGCAGGAACTCACACAGGACAGGAACCTGGAGGCAGGAGCTGATACAGAGGCTAGGGAAGGGTGCTGCTTCCCTGGTTTGCTCATCATGGCTTGCTTAAACTGCTTCCTTATAGAACTCAGGACCACCAGCCTAGGAATAGCACTACCCACAATGGGCTGCACCTTCCCCCATCAATCACTAATTAAGAAAATACCCTACAGCTGGACCTTATGGATATATTTTTCTTTCAGTTGAGGTTCCCTCCTTTCAAATGGCTTTAGTTAGTGTCAAATTAACATAAGTCTAGCCAGCACAGACAATTTGGCAACCCAGTGGAAATGTGACTGCAATCAGCTAGGGGCCAGTTTGGGGAGTATCTAATAATCAACAGACACGTTAGAGGCCAACCTGGGTAGGAGCAAGATGTATTGCAGAATTAGGACCATAGACAAGAACTGGAAAATCAGTAAATGTGGTTCCTGACTTTGAGGGGGTTCTGGCCATTGGTAATTACAGCTGTGATGTTACTGGTAAGGGGCCAGGGGGTGTGGCAACAGAGCTCCATGCTTTTCACAGAGCCAGGCTGGAGGTTAGAACCTAAGTGCTATTCAGTCATTCCACCTGTGTGGCTAAGTAGACTTTCTCCTCTGAAATCTCTGTGTAGATGACTGTCAGCCTGATGTGGAGCTTCCAGTGAACCAAAAACTGGAGAGTGAACTTGGTGTCATAGAGGAGGACACTCTTCCAGAAGAAGCCCCTTTTATATTGGGCCATAGCACAGGGGTCAAGGATGAAGCACTAACCCCAGCAAAAACACGAGCAGTAAGAAAGAAGACTGCAATGGAGCATGTGCCATTTAGGAAGAAAGATACTCTGGAGCCAGCCAGACTACAACAGCAGGTATGGTCTTTCCTTTCTTGTGACCCGTTTATATTCATCTGAGCTACTAAAGGGTAGGACCAGCATTTGTTTGAGGGCAGATGGATACCACAACCCTGAGTCCAGCAATCTAAGTTGACTTGCTTAATTCTAGATTGTAATGGTAGTATAGGATATAGCATTCTATCCTTCCCTGATTCAGTAAGATCCTAACTAATTCAATACCATGGTAGTAATTAGGAAGTTTGTCTTAAAATTCAAAATTTGAAAGTGTGACAGTTGAGAGGATTTAAGATTCTGTTCTGAGTGGTTAGTTAGTGGGGAATGCTGTTCTGGGGCTGAAGATGGCTCAGTGGTTTTAAGAGCACTTGTTGCCCTTCTAGAAGACCCAGATTAGGCTCCCAGCACCCTTATAGTGGCTCATAGCCACCTGTAACTCCAGTTCTTGGAGATCCAGTGCCCTCTTCTGGCCTCCACAAGCCCTCCAAACCTGTGGTACACAGAGTCATACATGCAGGCAAAACCAATTTTTAAAAAATTTATGTACACATAAATTTTTAAAAAAGATTGTGTTTCTACTAAAGATAGATACTGATCCGTAATAGTCAGTGGATATTAAAGGGCCACTTGAAGTGAGTGCTTTTTAATATGGCTTGGGAGCTAGCTTGTGATGTGAAACTACCTTATATTTAAGCCTTCTATCTAAAACTTCCTTCCCTAACCCTAACCCTAACCCTAACCCTAACCCTAACCCTAACCCCAACCCCAACCCCGGTTTGGTTCCAAGCACTCACATGGTGGCTCACAACCATCTGTAACTTCAATTCCAGGATATTTGGTGTTCTCTTCTGACCTCCATGGGCACCAGGCATACAAGTGATACATAAATATACATGTGGGTAAAACACCTATATATATACAATTAACTAATTACTAAAAATTTTAATAACAACAAAAAGCTTTCTTATGGTCCTATAGTGGAAAACTGGCCAGATGAACACCACTGGTCCGAGTGTACTTACTGCTGTGACTGCTATTCAGTAGTGCTATCCAGAGGCTTCTTCTGTAGCATGCCTGGGTATTGTCACATGACCTTGGAAACAGAAATTTGTCAGTTTTCTAGTGTCTTGGTTTCCTTTCTGTTGCTGTGAAAATACACCAAATTGGGGAGGAATTTTTTTTTGTAAAGATTTTATTTATTTATTATGTATGCAGTCTTGTGCCTGCATGCCAGCAAAGGACACCAGATCTCATTTAGGGTGGTTGTGAGCCACCATGTGGTTGCTGGGAATTGAACTCAGGACCTCTGGAAGAACAGTCAGAGTTCTTAACCACTGAGCCATCTCTCCAGCCCCAGGAAATGGGTTTTTTGTTTGTTTGTTTTTTGGCCAGGGCAGGAGTTTGAGGTAGGAAACTGAAGGCAGGAACTGAAGCAGGGGCCATGGAGGAGTGCTTCTTACTGACTTGCTCCTCATGAATTGCCTAGCCTACTTTGTTATGCAACCTATATTCCTAGAAATGGTATTGAATACAGTGATCTGACTTCTTTCACATCACTCATTAATCAAGAGAATGCTCTGTAGACTTGCCTACAAGCCAATATGATGGAGGTACTTTCTCATTTGAAGTTCTGTCTTTGCAGAGGACTCTAGTTTGTGTCAAGATGACAAAACACTAATCAGCATAATCAGTTACTGACAGGTCGTGGGCTGGCATCAAGTCTTTATTTCGTCCCAAATAAACTTGTAATGAGGTACTAGTAAGTCAGGATTGAGTTTATCAGAAGGAATTCTACTTGGAGGCTCATCTCAGCCTCATGCCCAGTAGTATTTGAAATTGTGTGATTCATTGTAGTTAGACTAAGGTTCAAAAGGTTAAATATTTTAGCCAAGAATATTTTATAATTTACCTGGATTTTTAAACAAACGGATTTTTAAAAGGGGAGATTTATTTAAAGAAAAAGATAATAAATTATATATATATGGAAAAGCCCCCTTGCCCAGGTTTACTTCAGTGTGATTTATATGCTTCTCACATTGCCCTCAGAGTGCTTTCTGTTAGCTTTTAGAATGAATGCAAAGAGGCACTTGTAGCTTCCTGTGAGTCAGAGGCTGAGTGTCTTTGATACTTATTTGGCTTTGTAATATATGTTTACTTTTTATAGGGACTACACATATCTGAAAGAAATAGACCAAACCAATCTTACAGCAAAAGCAGGTTGCAACAGACAACAGTGGCATCCAGATTAAAAATGAACCGACAGCCTGTGAAAGATCACAGGGCTCCTTGGATACCTCCAAACCCCACGTCCCCACCAGCGTCTCCTAAATGGTATGCAAAAATTCAAGGAGTATGAGTTTGATTGGCCTTGTTTTTCTTCCACAGATGACACACATTAAAGCAAATGAAGCTTCATTCTTCCCATTGGGCAGAAACGCTTATTTGATTGATACATGAGTTTTTTGTCTAGAAGCCTGTTGGTTCCTTTTTGTCTGTGGGTGGAGTATCTCAGTGCTCAGTGGTAGGGTCATTGTAGGAAGGATTGTGACTGTTGTCTGCTCTGTGAGTAGATTGTGCTTACTACTCAAGGCGGGACACTGTATCTCTTATGTCTTGTTTAGTTTTGTTTTTCGAGACAGTTTCTCTGTGTAGCTTTGGAGCCTGTTCTGGAACTCTGTAGATCAGGCTGGCCTTGAATTCACAGAGAGCGACCTGCCTCTGCCTCCCTAGTGCTGGGATTAAAGGCATGCGCCACCATCATCTGGCTGATTGTGTGTTTTTGTTTTCATGACTTTGTTCTGATTTCTTTGTTTTATACATGTCAACACAGGGATGTGAATTGAGTTGGTAATATAATACATCAACAGGTTGAAGTCTGTGCTGCTAACCAAGTGCACAATATACTATCTTCTAGACCAGTGGTTCTCAACTTGTGCGTCTCAACTTCTTTGGGGGGGTCAACAACTCTTTTCATAGGAGTCACATATCAGATATCCTGCATACCAGATATTTACATTACCATTTTATTTTATTTTAGTTTTGGTTTTTCAAGACAGGGTTTTTCTGTTTAACAGTTTGGCTGTCCTGGAACTTACTTTTTAGACCAGGATGGCCTTGAACTCACTGAGGTCCACCTTCTTCTCAAGTGCTGGGATTAAAGGTGTGTGCTACTACCACCCAGATTATGATACAATTTATTACAGTAGCAAAATTACAGTTATGAAGTAGCAATGAAAATAATTTTAGGGTTGGGGATCACCACAGCATGAAGAACTTTATTAAAGGGTTGCAGCATTTGGGGAGGTTGGGAATCACTGCTTTAAACAGTATGTGTGGTGGGTGGAGACATGGGGCAGATAAGGCTTCCTGGCTCACAGTGCTGTGTGAGACCTAACACAGGTACTTAGACTCATATTTAAAGCAGGTTTTGTTGAAGTACATTCTTTATTCTGTGACAGATTTTTTTTTTAAATTAAAATAGTGACTGCTTCTTTGAGACAACGGGATGCCCTTTGACATTGGGCATGAGAGCTAGAGGATCTCTCTCCTTCACATTCATTTTGCCATCAGGCACCAGGCACTGAGCTATAGATCAGCATTGCTGTGGTGCTCTTAGGATGAGTCACAAGAAGTGGACAAATGATTGCAAAAGGCATGCTTTTCCATTTGGTGCAGTGCTGCGTGGCTAAAGGTGAAGTCCAGTCCCAGAGGTGCTACAAAGGAACAGTCCCTCCAGCGAGAGGATACCACTGGGGGAAGTCAGTTGGGAGGTGCTTCCGAGAAAGAAACAGCCAGGTTTGTATTAGCATTTTTCGGAATTAAAGGGCACCTTTTATATATAGACTTGGAAGCAAAGCTCTTCTTATCTCCCCTGTGTCTAAAGATGATTATTTAAAATTAGGTTCCTGAACTTTCCTATTACACTCTCCAGCTTACCAGAGGCCCACCACTCTTTTATTCTTTCTTATATCATTCATTGAAAATTTTCATGTATGTCATTTGCCAATTTGTAAATGGCACTGTTGTGCACTCTGCACTTTTTAAAGAAAGAGCAAATAAGACCATAATCCCAGTCCTTCTTATTTTCTGCCAGTGGAAAATAGATGTAATTAGCTGTGATTTAAGGTAGAACATGGTATACACCCTAAGATCTGGGCAAGTTCAGGGCGGGGAGTGTTTACCTCTTGCTGCAGAGAATGAAGCTTCATGCAGGGAGGTAGGAATGAAACCAGGACTAGCACAGGCAGGAATAAATGTGAGGGGTGTAATGAGAACGTTCCAAAGGAAGACAGCAGTGAAAACAGCTTGCTCTGCATTTGTTTGGCTGAAATTATCCTGGCAGTTATGGGAAAGCAAAAATGAAAATGGGTATTAGGGCCAGGGGGTAGCTCAGGAGTACAGCACAGCTCCAGTGTATGTAAAGTACACTGTACTCTAGTAGAGCTCTATCTTCAGCCCTTAAAAAAGAGTGGGTTGTTAGAGAATTTGGTGATATTCACATATACTGAACCAGAAGAATCAAAGTTCTTTATATAGACATACAATAAAATTGTTTAGAGTTAACTTTCCCTTTTGTTTTTATTTGTCTAAACAAGTAACCTGTCCTGAGAACAGTGGTGGTTGGTTTTTTCATCTACAGCTTCCTGTGTCTGTACTAATTGTGTATAAATGTCCTTTTGTAGGGACACACTATGGAAGCTTTCATGGGTACACAGAGGATACATTGTATTTTTAATCCTTTCATAGAGCCAGCATTGGTGTGGGCTGGGGGAAGGGGCTCATTTCTGCTCTGTTTCTGTGATGATGCCCTAAGGCATTGAGGCATGGTTACCCTGACTCTTTTACTGTCTGTTAGGCTTTCTTGGCCAGATGCTCAGTTTTCCAAAAGATTGAAAGAACCAGAAGAATTGGAAGCCAAGGAAATGTTAAGAATGCAAAAACAGAGGTAAATATTTGTTTCTGAGGTAAACAAGAAGGCAGGTTTGTTCTGTATCATCTCACTCCTTCCACAGTGAGTCAGGATTGTTGACGTCAGTCTCACTTCTACTCACTGGCTTTCTGCCTTCTTAAAACCGGAAAGCTACCGACAAGCCTGTGGTAGAGCCAAAGATAGAAGCCAAGGAAGTCCTGACTCTGCCCTAAGGAGAGCTGACATGACTTTACCTCCTTCTAGACTTGACTGGCTTGAGGCTGAGACTTCTAGAAGAACAAAGGAGCTGGCTCAACTGAAAGCTGAAGAAATGGATAGACTTCAAAAATTAAGGTATATGTTTGCTACTGGGGAGTGATAGGGTATGTGTCTTTTTTTTTAATTGATTCTTATAGTTTGAACAGCCAACCTCACCTCATTCCCAAATTGAGTAACGGAATGAATGAGCATTTGCTTGTTTCCATGCACACTACTACACCACAGTTTCTTGGGAGTGTGTAGAGTGTGAAGAACTGCAAAGCCATATATGATCTGGGAAGAGGTCTGTGTTTGCTTCTTGTTTGCTGCAGTGCATCCCAAGGCAATGCACTAGGTGGATGCCGGTCTTCCTGAGGGCAGAGGGTGAGCAGATGTGTGTGATGTGTGTGAATGATGAGTGTGTGGATGCTTTTGTCTCACGTTAGCCTGAATGTGGTCTGAGGCTTTCAGATGAGGTTACTTCCCCCATTCATCCACTAAGAGTGCTGCCACCTAACAGGCAGTGAAGAAATATGCTTGAGATGTAATGGGGCTGATGTCACTGCCACAGGTGACTCATTTTTCCAGCTCTGTTAATCATTCACCCTGTAGTCAAATGAACAAAGCACTGACTGAAACATCTGTACATTTTATCACCATTAGTGATGGCATTCAGTCCCAGTTACAGGGCTCTAGTTAATTCATTAGAGACCAAGGTGACCAAGGTTAAGATTTCAGTTATAGACTCACAGAATGTTAGGATTTGAAGGATTCCCCCTATACACATAGCTGATAGTTCCAGACTTCTACTGTCTCCCAGAAGTGGCCAGCATGTGTGTGTATACGTACCTCTATGATGGGGTGGTCACAGCTCTTGGAGGGACTCTGCCTTGCTCATCCCTAGGTAGTATAAGGTTGATTGCCTGTGACTCTTACCCACTTATCTTTTCGCATCTCATTTATTCCTTTGTGTATATTTTTTTCTGAAAAAAAGAATAAGTGTAGCATAGCATCTAAAAACACACTAAATTCGTGTGTAAGGTTCAGAATATTATAAATGAACACCTGTGCATTGCCTCTCAAACCAGGTAATACTGTTGTAGAAGCTATACCCTCTTCTCCCTAGTGATACCTACTGTCCTGATTCCTGGCTTAATCTTTTCATTACCCTTGTTCACAAATCTACTACTAATGTATGCATTTCTGCCAACAACCTTAATTTTGGAAACAGAAGAACACCGGAAGGGCAGTTTTACTAATGTTAGAGAAGACTCAGGAGAATAGGTTGCAGAATCTGAACCATCACCTGACCATCCCAGGCATCAAAGAGCAAGAGCAAGAGCATGAGTGAGTCATGACAGACAAGATAGGTTTTACCACCTCAGGGCTGTAGGGCAACTAGGTCTACTGGACTTCTGGAAGCCTTGTCTGGAGAGTGAGCTGCCTGTTTGTGCTCTGTTTTCTCAGCTCCTCTGGGCAGTCTATGGGGTGAGGTGAAGACCCTCAGCAGACAGAGCCCAGAGGATCAGCACTTCATCAGCATCAGGAAAGACAAGTGTCTAGGCTGGGCATGCTTACATGAATTTCCTTGTTATGTCCTCTTTCTGTTTGTGTGCTTGGTTTGATGAAGCACAGCCTAATTTAACCTCTTTTTTTAAATTGCAATTTTATAGCTTTACATCCTGCAGATAGTTCTCATCCACATTGAGTGTCTATAGGTTTGGGGGGCACGAAGGGGGCTGGTTTGGTTGTTAGTGTTTTTTGTTTTGTTTTCTGTAGGGTTTTGAATGTGATAACAAGGATATAGATTACCAAATTACAGAGCTTGTTTGGTGACTCCCCATCCTCGTATTCTGGACAAATGCATGCAGATATAATAGGAACTATAATTTGACCTAGGTGACTTTGTTGAGCATGCTATCAGCATGCTCATCTGGAGTCCCCATCCTTTGTGGCAGATTTCATATTTCCTTGAGTGTCCAAGGGGCACACTTCCTGAAGCCCACTCTGTGGATACCTTTGTGAGTATTGATGTATTCTCAGGTCACCACAGTCTTAGTTACTTTTCTATTGCGATAATAAAACACCGTGAACAAGGCAATTTATAAAAGAAAGCTTACAGTTTCCAAAAATTAGACATGATGGCAGCATGAAGGAATGGCTAAGAACTCACATCTTGTTCCACAAGTCAGAGGCAGAGAAAGACACATACATTGAGAATGGCTTTGATACCTCAAAGTCCTTGTCCAGTGACACACCTCCTGCAACAAGGACACACCTCCTAATCCTTCCCAAACAGAACAGTTCTACCAACTGGTGAGCAAGTATTCAAACATGTGAGCCTATGGGGACCATTATCATTCAAACCACCCCAGCCACCTCAGTGATGGCAAAATGGCCTTCCTTCACCCCCTTCTGGGGCCATTATGCCATGTCCTCTAATTTAGCTTCTTAGAGAGGATGAGCTAGGCATGGTATATGCCTGTGATCCCAGCACTTGGAAGACTGAGGCAGGAGGATTGCCATGAGGCCAACCCATTTTACAGTAGCTTGACCTTGTCTCAAAAAAATAATAGTAATAATTAATTGGAGGGAAAGGAGTCTTTTTTTCCAGACAGTTCAAATCTAAAAATGTCTGTTCTATGCTTATATTTGCTAATTTTGTATACCCATTATTAGTCTTATTATGGAATTCTTATTTGGAAATGATTTTTAGCAGATATTTTGTTAATATTAAACTTTTTATTATTAGATAATTATACAAAGTTGTAATAATACAGAAAAAATCTTGGGAAATAATTTTTTAGTTACCTAGTTTACTATCTTAAAGTGCTGACTATATATAGCCAGGGTGTAGAGTACACGTGATTAGCTAGCATTGCTGCAGTCATGAACACGCCATCACCATGACGTCCCTCATGTTGCCTTTTATAGCCATACATACTTCTCTGCTGCCCCAGCCACCTTTTGATTGGGTAAACATGGTAGCCACTAATCTGCTTTCCCTTTTTATAATTTGTTTCAAGACTTATTTCTACAATGTATAACTTTCTGGAATTGGCTTTTTAAAGTTTTGCTTATTCCAGCGGGTGGGAATTATTGTACCATAGTGTACATAGTGTACATATATATGGTGGTCAGAGGCCCACTTGCAGAAGTCAGTTCTCTTATTCAACTATGGGAATCAAACTCTGGTCCTCAGGCTTGACAGCAAATGACTTTAGCTGCTGAGCCATCTCACCTGCCCTAGAACTGACCTTTTTTTCCTGAAGTAGTTCTCTAAAGAGTCATTCTGGTCACTGCATATATTATTCATTCGTTCTTTCTGTTGGTGAGTTGGATTTCAGAGTTTAACCACTCATCTTAGTAAACAACCGAGGGACATCTGAGTTGTCATTAGCATGGCATTATTATAACTAAAGATTGTATAAACATACATGTATCATGTGATGTGGTTTTATTTCACTGTAGTAAGTTCCCATAGTGAATTTTCTGGGTTGTATGCTTCTGTATGTTTTGGTTTCTGTCTTAGTCACTGCGAAGTCTGTTGCTGTGAAGAGATAACATGAGCAATGTAACTCATATAAAAGAAAGCATTTAACTGGGGCCTGGCTTACAGTTTCAAAGGCTTAGTCCATTATCATCATGGTAGAAAACATGGCAACAGGCAGGTGTGGTGCTACATGCTGATCTGTAAGCAGGGGAAGGAGAGGGAGAGAGAGAGAAAAAGAGAAGGGGGGGGTTTTGGTCTCACTCAGAGCAATTGAATCTATATCTACCTTAACACCCCATGCATGTGGCCATTGCAGTTGGAGGAGCATTGTGGGTTTGCCTTCACCTGGAGGAGTTACATAAATATGCACAATAGGACATTCTGACCACTGATTTTTCAACTTTACTTCTAAACAGTGTGTCTGCCGCCCAGTTAGCTGACAAGGTAGAAGAAGCAGTGCTGGAGCGGTTGAAGCCCCTCTTGATCAAGGCCCAGGTAACTGGTTCATCTCATTTGCTTGCCTTTCACAGTTCTGAAATGAAAAGTTATTACATAGGTCACACTGACCCTCTTTTAGAGGGCCAGGCGTCTCTTTGGTGCTGGCAGCCTGTAATACAGAGCAGGATTTCACTGGTGGGTTCCTTCACAACCTCCATACCACCACATAGTATCCACTATCCTCATGTCCTCTGTGTGGGTGTGTGTGGAGTGGGAAGCGAGCGTATAGGAAAGGGAAGAGAAGCCAGCACTACTTTTAAGAAGGGTGGCATTTTATTTAACTTGGGGAAAAAGTTTAGAGTGAATTTTCCATTCTTCCCAAATCAATCTATTGATAAGGATGGTATTCACTTAATTTTCCCCTGGATACTGGTCTCCGTGACCTTGGTAACTTAGAATGATTGGCTATTTTACAACAGAAGAGAGAGATTTGGGACACTTCTCTGCACAAACTAGAAGTTTCTCAAAGATGATATGACTTGGAGCATACCACAATTTTATGTCACCCTCCTGTAAGCAGTAGGGATTCAATAGTGACACCTGATGGATTCACCCTGGAAATAGAAGCCATCTTGTTTTCATGCTTATAGATGAGGTCATGTAAGAATATTATGACATTAATTGATTGAATGGCATTCTAAGAAGTGTTAGGCTATTAGAGTCCATGGAAATTCTAGGATTATTAATCTCAGAGGGCTCCTAGAGATGGAGTTGTGTAGTCTCCTCATTTGAGAAAAGTATAGAACAGACAAGTTGAATGACTTGCAAAGCGGTATTTAGCTACTCTGGCAGTGTTTACAAAGTTGAGAGCTTAAAAATATGTCTGGAGCACTGAGAACAACACATGGCATTTATTTTCATGAGGACTGGGTGCTTTGATTGCTGCAAGAAGCCTACTGTATCTAGAGCTGATGAATAGTTCCACACAGGTTATTCTGCAATATTCTGCTTATTTGTTCTGAGTTGTGAATTTTTATAATCCGTGAATGCATTTGTCCATTTTAATAGAGAGTTAATTCTTCTGTGGAAGCAAATAGTCTTTTGAAGGATCGTTCGTCACCAAGTGCAGCAGCAGCAACAGCAGCAGCAGCAACAACAGCAGCAGCAACAACAGCAGCAACAGCAGCAGCAGCAACAGCAGCAGCATCCCAGCCTGCAGAGCAGGTGTGTGGCGTTGGGATTCTGATATTATTACATGATCATGTCTCCAGTCAAAGGAAAGTGATATGCAGATTACTTAGCAAACATCACGTTATCCTACTCAAGGAGAGTACAAATTCTTTTTCATATGTAGCATGTTAATTCTTAGAGTGTATATTTGCTTCTGTCTCTGAATGGGCCTTGTAAGCAGCTCACAGACATCTCCAGAGCTGCAGGCTTTTGTTGGTGCACTTTTATCTCTCCTGTAATGACAGAGTGTAGATAAAGTGTGGCCCTGAATGTTGATGGCCTGAGCAGAAGAGTAGCTCCCTCATTTCTTTTTCATCCAGCCTACTTTGGCTCATTGGGGGCCTAATTTCCTTTCTTTTTAGGGTCTGATGTTTTTGTTAAGCAAGCAAGTTTTGTGCACCTAGTACATGATCATGTCTGGTCTAAAAGAAAGGAAAGAAGGTCCAAGAAAGAAATGAAAGCATTTGAGGTTAAATGAAAACCTCCTTTGTTGTTGTTCAGGCTGATCTTCCTCTGGAGGATTTGCTTTTAATGTGTAGGGGGCTGTCCCTTCTGCCTGGCCCTAGGGACTTTGGAGTAGAAGGTACAAGTTGCATTCCTTTAATCTTCTAAAAGTTGAAAAAAAAAGGTGCTTGCTGCTGTAATTGCTCCAAACAAATAAAGGGCAGAGAATAAAGGAGGTAGAAGGAAGCAGGAGTGAAGATTCAATAGCCCAGTGGCCGGGAGCAAGAAGACTGTTAGGTCAAGATTGTTCAACTAATGTAACAGTTAAGCAGGATTTTAGCTGTATCTTCATTGTTGCCATTCTTTTTGTGTTGTTATTTTGTGTTGGAGTCCCATGTGAGGTCAGGCTGCTAAGACTGGAACTAAGCCTCCATTGTTCATTATAGTCTCAGGTGTATGATGGCTTAGTGTTTTTTTGTGCATCATGGCCACTAAAAGCTCCCTTTTAGACTCCCAACAAGTGATGGGCTAGCTTATAACTTAGGAAAGCAGCTCCATAAAGCATTTCAGTATGAAAGGAAAATGAAATGGATTACTAATACAGTAAAACAGACATATAAATGCTTTGAATAAAACAGGCTTTTTATGTGCAAATTACTTAGTAGGCCTTAAATTGTCTTTAATACAATAGTTTGAAAGATAAAACCCATCTCTTGTTTAGAATTCTGGGTTGTTGGAAACACTCGCATTGCAAGGAATTTTCCAGATTGTACATCAATAATCAAACAGGCAACTAATAACTGCTGAGAGGGGGCAATCTAGTCTTTCCCAGGGATGAGCCCCCTAATTAATTATCCCAGCACAAAGTGGTCAGCCCTGAAATTGTGCACACACAAGCAACACTAAGTGTACTCAGCAAGTTGTGTTTATATAGGTGTGTGTGTGTGTGTGTGTGTGTGTGTGTGTTTAAAACATTAATAAAGAAACAGAGGCTAGCACTTTGAGAGAGAGTAAGAGGAGGGGCATGGGAGGGATTGGATGGAGGAAAGGGAAGGGGACAAGTTATGTAATTATTTTAATTAAAATATTTTTTTAAAAATTAAGTGTTTGAGGCCAGCCTGGTATACAGAGTGAGTTCCAGGACAGCCAGGACTACACAGAGAAACCCTGTCTCAAAAAAAACAAAAGACAAGGAAGAAGACAAGCCCAGAGAGGCTGAATAAACTTGTCCAAAGTTGAAGGGCAGAGCCAGGCCCTCTTAGGATAAAGAAAATAGATGGGTGTGGTGATAGAAGCCTTTAATACTAGCACTTGGGAGGCAGAGGCAGGTGGATCTCTGAGGCCAGCCTGGTCTACAAAGTGAGTTCCAGGACTATGTAGAGGCCCTGTCTCAAAAAAAAAAAAAAAAAAAAAAAAAAAAAAAAAAAAAAAAAAAAAGGAAGAAGAAAGAAAGGAAGGAAGAAAAGTAAGCATGGAGAAATGCTTTGCAAACTATAAAGTACTTTGTTAATTTAAAGCACACAAAGTCAGGAGAGAATGGTAAAGTCCTCTTAAATCATAACAAGAGCCTCAAGCAAAGAAAAGAACCCTGAACTTTGTAGTGCTGTGAGGCTTTTATAAGGGCATGAACCAAAAGAAAAGACATGCCATCTAGAATGCATGATGTATAAAATATGATACATTCCCCTAAATGTGGCAGAAGAGATATGTCTAGTCAGCAAGGCAGATGAAATAGCTGGTTAAGCTGCAATAAAGGCACTTCTAAGTTAGTGTAATCTCTTAAGGGACCGATAAGAATTGTATTGGCTGGTGCTTTTGTTACATACTGACTGAGAAGTTTGTTCTGGCATGGGATCTCTGCCAGCTGGAACACTATGCTTTGTGGTTATAATGATCAACAATAGTCTTTAATTTTTCAGTTCTCTTTATATTACCTTTTCACCCTTTCTTTCTTCATTTTGTAGGCTTCAGGCATCAGTTATGGGTCCAGGAATATTCATCATCTGGATGACTGTCTGGAAGATGCTGCTCATGAACTCTGGGCCATGACTCATGATAAGAACTTGGGGTTAGAAACTTCAGCCACATTGGGGGACAACAAGGATAGCCCCAATCTAGAGACCATGATGCTCCGGATGGAGGAAATGGAAGTAAGGTCTGGGTCTGCTGGTCTGTTTTGCCAGTGGGGGTTCACCTCTGCTCCTGATCATGCTGACACTCAATGTGGCAGAGCCGCAGGGTCCTACTTTTAAATCCAAGCTCTCTTGCCAACTAAATGAACCTTGGATCGGTTCGGTCGCTTACCCTGCCTAATAAGTAGGGTTTTTGAGAATAGAAGATATAAAGTATTTATTTAGCAAACTATCCGACACATAACTCAAGTGGTCTATACTGTTTTCACCCTGTTAACAGTGACTTGTAATTCCAAAAACATAGATTATGGGACTTGGTCCCACAGTTTGGACCATTGACTTTTGCATCCATCTTTTTTTTTTAGATTTTATTTATTTATTATGTATACAACATTCTGCTTCCGTGTATATTTGAACACCAGAAGAGGGCACCAGATCTTATAATGGATGGTTGTGAGCCACCATGTGGTTGCTGGGAATTGAACTCAGGACCTCTGGAAGAGCAGTCAGTGCTTTTAACCGCTAAGCCATTTCTCCAGCCCTGTATCCATCGTTTATAGACACTTTTCAGCTGCCTCTTCTAGCTTGCTGTAGTGACCCTGTCATATCACAGATGTCTTCATCATCTTTAGTTTCCAGACTACTACTATTATAATGACTCCTTTTTCTTACAAACTTTTAGACCTCAGACATGAACCATCCTACTGAATTGTTCAAGAACAGGAAATCAAAACCCAGTGGTCAAATGGTGTGCTCAAGGTCATAAAAACTGCAGAGAGAGCCAGGATGCCCTATCCAGGGTGGACCCCACTCTCAGCACTTTTGTTTTAGTTGTATCATGATTAGCTCAGTTCTTCCTCATTGCTAAATAGGAATTTAAAAGGAAGGTAATTTTTGGTTGGTTTCTGAAAATTTAAAGACACACTGTTTGTCCTATTCTTTAAACCACTTTCCCTCTATTGGGGGTAACTGCCTAGACCTGAGCTGTTCTACGCAATAGAAATAGCCAAGTCTGTTGAAACACAAACCTAATGAAGATGTAAATACAGGTGGTCCATAGGTGGACAGGGGACCTGTGTCTGTCATCACAGCAAGCTCTAGGGGACAAGCTGTCTGAGGTTGCAGTCATGTTAGTTACACTTTCTCCTAGGCTTCTCTGGTGAGCTGCTCAGCAGACCCCTGTTCTAATCAGTGTCCTTCTGCTGAGCTGTTTCCACACTTACTACTTTCTGGCTTATAATGAAACTTACTTTTCTCATAAATTAAACTTTCTTTTTTAAAGAAATACCAGGAGACAGTTCGCCAAAGATATAATAAAATTGTATATGCTGACCCTCATTTATGGATGCACGAAGAAAGAAATGGTAGGTGTTTCTCCCCAACCCCACCCTCAATATTTTACTCTGAAAAATTTCAAAGGCTGAGAAAATCTGCCCAGTGATGACCAAAATCCTCACCTTGTAGCTCTGAGGTTACCGTGTCTGTTTACCCTCTGTCCTCAGTTCATCTCAGTTTTGCATTTCAGATGGTCTTATTACGCATTTCAAAGTAAACTGCCAGGTAACAGTCCATTTTCTGCCAAATATGCAGCATCAGCTTGAGTTTCTTGTTTGTTTATGTTTTTTTGTTTTTCTGAGTTAAAATTTACATGTAAGAAATAGAGAGATGACTTAGTGAGAGGCTGAAGCAGAATTGACAGGAGCTCCTGGGCCAGCTAGCCTGTCATAGGCAACAAGAGACCCCTCCCTGGTTCAAACAGTGGAGGGTCCTCACTCACCTAAGTTTGTCCTGACCCCAAACATGCTCCACACCATGCCAGTGCCTGCATTCTTATACCTTCATCTCTCTCTCTCTCTTTCTCCCTCCCCCCCCACATGCAAATTTATTAATGAAAAATGTTTGTATATAACACACAGATCTCAACCATGTCATTTGAGGAGTTTTGACAAATGGATCTATTTCTTACCAGACTCCTGTCTAGATGCAGCACACACCATCGCTGCAGAAATTTCCCATGTCCTTCCCAGTCAATGTCCTACCTTTAGGCAACACTGTGCTTCTCAGCCATGTTGACTAATCTAGCTAGAGGTTTGAATAAGTGCAGCCTCTTGCTGGAGAATGTGTTCTTGTCTAGGCTCTTCCAGTCAACATAGCATGTTATAGCCTGGTTTTGCTTATTTCCTGTTGCTACTGTAGCAAATAGAACACTTAGAACACTTCTCACCACAAATTATTGAATCAGAATATAGATTTATTCTCTTATAACTTGAGAGCTCAGAAGGCTGGAAATGAGTCTTGAAAAGAAGTCAAAATGCTGGTAGAGCTGGTTCCTTCTGGCCGCTCCAGATGAGGGTCTGTTCTGTACAGTTGTCCCAGTTTCTGCTTATGTGGTCAGTCACCTTTCCTCCTGTGGTCATGCCTCCCATTGTTTGCCTATTATAAAGAAATCTGAAAATCACACATACAGATTACTCTCCCCACCCATTACAAGATCTTAAAGTCCTTTCTGCAGTGGAGATGACACAGCTACTGATTGCAAACATCTCAATGTTCATTTACCCTACTAATTAGTCCTCTGTCACCCCCTCTCTATTCCCCTTCTCCTTTCTTTCTGAGTAGTATTCCTTGGAATGTACATTCCACATCTAGTTTGCATGTTTGCCGATGGATATATGTTTGTTTTCTTCTAGTTTGGGACTATTAAGAATTAAGCTAAGGCATTGGAAAGATGGCTCAGTGGTTAAGAGTATTTATTGCTCTTGCAGACTACCTGGGTTCAGTTCCCAACACCCACATGATGACTGACAGTAGGCTCTAACTCCAGATCCTGAGGATCTGGATCTATCTTCTAGTCACCTAGGCAGCAGGCACACGGTGTACACACATATGGGCAGGCAAAAGCTTACATCGATTAAAAAATAAATACATCTAATTTTTTTTTAAGTAACTAATGAATTTAAATGCAAGCGTGGTGACAGATTCCTGTAATCTGAAGCTGAGGCAGGAAGATCAAGAGTTCTGTCCTGGGTAGCATATGAATTCCAGGCTAGCCTTGCTTACACGCGAACTCTGTCTCAAATCTCTTGTAAACATATTAATATGTAGTCTTTGTGTGGACCATTGGTTTTTATTTCTCTTGGATAAATACCTAAGGTATTGCCAGGTCATGTGCTAGGTGTAACAAACTATAAATATCTGCCAAGGAGGCTGAGCCATGTCTGCTCCTGTCTCCACTGAGTTGCCCTTGTTTGCCTCTGGCGGTGTCAGTTTTACATTGTGTTCGAATAATGAATCTGGCAGGGGAATTGGTATCTCATGGTATTTTAGTTTCACCTTCTAATATTTTTAAAGCTTTATTATTATTTTTAGTGATGGGTCTGTGCCTGTGGCAGTGCACAAAGGTATTGGATTTTCTCCCTGAGCTAGATATGCAAGTGGTTGGGAACTGTCAGATGTGCTGGAAACTGAACTCAGATTCTCTGCAAGACCAGTGTATGCTCTAAACCACTGACCCATCTCTCCAGCCCCTAAATTTCTATTTCTTTTCTTTCTTTCTTTCTTTCTTTCTTTCTTTCTTTCTTTCTTTCTTTCTTTCTTTCTTTCTTCTTTCTTCCTTCCTTCCTTCCTTCCTTCCTTCCTTCCTTCCTTCCTTCCTACCTTTCTTCCTTCCTTCCTTCTTTTTTTTTTGGGGGGGGGTCGGGGGTTGAGACAAGTTTCTTTGTTTAACAGTCCTGGCTATTGTGGAACTCAGTTTGTAGACCAGGCTGGCCTCAAACTCACAGACATCCACCTGTTTCTGCCTCCCAGAAGTGCTGGGATTAAAGGCATGTGCCTCCACCGCCTGGCAATTCCTCCTTCTTGATAAGTAGCACTCTGAACCTTTTCAAGCGCTTAGTAGTTGGTGCTATATAATTCTTTATGAGATGTCCAAAATCTTTTTGTCTTTTTTTTAAATTGGGTTGTCCTTTTATTTTTTAATTATACAGAATATTTGTGTGTACTAGGCATAAGTTCTTGTCAAATATGTTTGGGTTGGTTTGTTTCTGTTTTTTTGTATTTTGCAGTGCTGAGGATCGAACCCAGTACCTTGCATATGCTCAGCAGACACTGTACATCTGAGCTATTGTCTCAGCACTGCCTTTCTGTTTTTTTTTTTTTTTTTTTTTTTTTTTTTTTTTTTTTTTTTAAGTAACTGCTATATTCACATAGTTGTCTGACCAGTGTTCATTGCTACTTTCTCAATTACAAAACATTTATTTTTACCGGGCACTGGTGGCGCATGCCTCTAGTCCCAGCACTTGGGAGGCAGAGGCAGGTGGATTTCTGTGAGTTCAA